GTTACTTCTTACAACTTAAGCCAAGAAGTTCCAATTAGATTATCTAAGAAAGATTAGTAGATTACCTTTCATGAATTTGAAGCTTTAAGCTAAATCTTTCTTCGATTTGAGTCCCAAATATAACAGCCCAAAGTTCTCTGCGTTTCCCCCTTTCTTGAAGCTTCTCTCCTTTCTCTCTCTCTCTCTCTCTTTTTTTTGGGTTTATTTATGAAACTAATTTTACTGACCAAACTAATTTTGCAAAAGTAAATTTGTATTACATCATATAATTCATGATAAATAATAAATTCCCGTATTGTAAAATTTTCTTATCAAAAGATAACAAGAAAAAGCTTACCTCACTTCTTACTTTAAAGATCAAAATCAACTTACCACGTTCTTAGATCTACGGATTAAAATTTTTTCAGTTGGATAGAGAGTCATGCTGCTAACGTGTTATAAAATAAATATGAAGAACAATAAAGAAAGAACAATAGAGGTAGAGAACAAGTTGGGAGAGAGAAAATGATCTGTGTATTATTCTGTGGAGAATAATCTCCTTTTATAGGCAAAAAATACAAAGATAAAATCTAATAATAACTAGATTTAACTAAATATTATCTCTATATATTTCTTATATAACTCTTATGACTTGTGTACATCCATACCATTAAATATTTATAACACGATGAACGATCTCTATAACTTGGGGGTGGCGGACTTCAAGGATTATATACTTCAAAAAAGAATAAAAGAATCATTATCGATGACGGTTGCCGTAACTTGGGGGGCTTCAAGGATTATATACTTCGAGAAAAGAAAAAAACATCATTAACCGATGAACGGTTTCTGTAATTATAACGTTCTTATCCTTTGAAATTCTCTTAATATTTGATTTTCTAGGACAAAAAGAATTTCTTCATGGAATGTCTTTACAGGTCAAAAATTTGAGATACTTTATTAATAGTTAGTTATGGTCTCAAAGATAATTTGTAGTTAACAAACAAAATGGACGCACCGGTAGAGAAAAACAAAATCTCAAAATACAAATCAAACACCGTCGCATTCAAATCAATGTCCGGATGATAACTTCTGGAAATGTAGCCAAAATCATGATCATCCCAGTTATCATCTGCCGTGATCCATCAGCCACTCAAAGGAACCAATGAAAGAGATATAATACAACACTACCAGTTGGACCAATTACAGTTTGCTAGTTAAGGGCCCCACTAAACAGTGTTTTCAAATTTTATTTATGGGACGCATTTTTAAACTGAGTATCACTCAAATTTATTCTCTTCATTCAAAAAAAATAATTTACTTTGAGTTTTGAAATTTGTATTAAAAATAATACAAAAATAAAAACTCAATATGAACTATTTTTTTGGAACGGAAATAGTATATTTTATTTTTCATATAATTTGTTCGCATTGCATAAATATTAACAAATATAATATAATATTTTGTAGTCTAATTAACAACAAAAAAGTCGATTTTTGAAGGAATTATGATTAAGATTATTTTATTATTCTTATCAGTTCACTACAAGGGCTTCGATAGATTCTTCTTTCTTGTCAATTTTCAGCATTAAACTCTTAAACTGTCGCTTAATATGGCAGAATGTGATCATTCATTTCTTAAAACTGCAAAGTTTTATTAGGATCACTCTTCCTTCTGTAGTTTATTTTTTCCATTTCGTTTTTTTTTTTAATCTAAACGGAAAAATATTCGTGGTCATCCTGATTTCCAAGCTTTGAGTACTCTGCCACCGCATTTGCGGATTTGCCTATCAATTTGAGGAAAATGTCGTTGTTCGGTTCGGCTGAGACAAAGATCTCCAAAAGAAGATGTAAGATATGTTCAAATTTGTCTACTCTTTGATAAAGATTGCAAGGTTCATCCTGCTGCCCTTTCATACACGTCAAGAATCTCCCCCTCCAATATTATTATTCTCGACATTAGCATACCTTTCCCTAATACAAATTTGTCAATAGTTATTGCCGCTTTAATCTTCTGTCTTCTGGGCCAATAACCTCATAAAATCACTAGACGGGTGCGGTTGCACCCTCCTCTTCGTTTTATTCGGAAAAAAAAAAATCGTATGTATAACTCATTTTCATACCTATAAATTATACTCTCTCCGTCACAAAATTATTGTCCAGTTTAGATTTTTACTTTTGATTCAATTTGTATTAAAAATAAAAATCTAAAGTGGGCAATCATTTTGAGACAGAGAGGGTATGAGATTATTTTATTACTCATTCTGTATCAGAAAAATAATCCACATTGAGTTTCAGAATTTATATTGTTTCAATAAAATAGAATTAGTCTAATTTTATAAATCTTGCACATCATTTTTAAAATGTCAAACTCCATCGTGTTCATTTTTTTATTTTATTTTTTTGCATATTTGTAGGGTGTTTGCCGTCGACAACAGTGACTAATCCCCCTCAATAAATTATAGACACCTCGATGAATGAGACAACTGACCAAAGTATTTAAGCCTATGGCGAGATTCGAACTCTCGACTTATGGTCCTTCACAACCACTTTGGTTGTCGTGTTCATGATGATTGGAAATTCTATATAGACCGACCAAATTTTATGGTCCATTCATACGCACCATTAGTCTGGCTGGTTGCCGAACAAATTAAATTTGTTTGGGTGGACGTAGTTGCAACTTGCAAGTTTCAGTTTTTATTGTACTACTCCTGTCAAAAAAAAAAAATCCATATTGAATTTTAAAATTTATATTAAAAATAGTATAAAATTCGAAATTTAATGTAGACTATTTTTGTGGGACGGAGGGAGTATTTTCTTAATTTCTGAAGTGTTTGTTCCGTGGGTGCATCATGTACGTAAAGACATTTTGCCAATTTGCCCAAGGCAGTACATATATTAAGCCAATAAATGAAGAAGCAACCCTTTTTTTAAAAGAGCAAAATTTTAATCAAAAAATGAAAAAGGAAAACAAACAGGGATACGACTTCAGGGATTGGTATCTAAATGTTCTTAGTTTTCTGGACATTTCTTAATATGGTACTTCCTCCGATCAATTCTTCCGTCCACTTTATAGAATGAAAGTATGTTCGGTAACTTTTTGACATTCTTTCCAATAAATTTAGGAATATTTCATATTTAACAACCTCATTAATTTGTAAAAAGAGATTATTTTTCAAGGAGAAAGAAAAAAACTAAGAGCTTACAAAAGTTTAATTATTTTCCGACAATTGAAAGATTTGTAATTTGATTCTTCGGTAACGGTTAAATAATATTATTTTCAATTTCCACAATTTAAAAGTTTTATTTCGGTCATTGATATAAGTCATGCATGATCGGTACGTTAAACACTCTCGGTTGTAAGTAAAAATAAAAATATTGGAATCTTTTAGGGTTTGGAAAGTGACACGTGCGCAACAATAAGTGCTAATAATTGGTCACATGCGTATGCGTAATGGTCAACCGGGAGGAGTGGACAAAAGACGATAACTTGAAAACATCCCATTTCCTTCTCTTTTAACTTCAAAACTAAATTGAAATATGCTTTTAGGTCATAAGCAATCAAATTTCGACATTAGCATTAACTCCTTCGTCCATATCCCACTTTAATTCTTGCAATGTAACACCTCAACGGTATCATATGTTAGGATAATGTATCTATTACTTCAAAACCTAAACCTAAGCATATGTACATTTAATTTGAAGTTGAAAACGTTTCTTAAGAGAATGAAAGTCATCTTAACGATGGAACTTTTGAACCAGATTTTATGATCAAAACGATAAGGAGGATGCATTAGTAAAGCAGATACACACGAGTCATGAGTCTCATGACAACAATCTCTGATTTTTTATTTATTTATTTTTTCGTTATCGTTTCTTTTATGGATAGAGTTGACCAGCATAGCGTCCAAAGTCCAAACTCTTCGAAATCTATCCAACACGTACAGAAGGAAAACCCACAAATAATTGCTGAAATCAGTGATTTACGAAAAACGAAACCAAGAATTGATATACATTATTTTATACCTCTAAAGAAAAATAATTTATTTTATTGAACTATATGATAAAGTTAACTATTTGTCTGAGTTAGAGAAGTTTCATGTACGTGTAAGATAAACTCATTTAATCGAGTCTTGTCCTATTGGTTAGGGCGTTGTACTTTAATTGCGAGGTTGAGTGTTCGATTCCTACCGCGGACGCGGGAACTAGGTAGCTGAAGGAGGAAGCAGGTAACTGACCAGCAGTCAATTTAAGCAGGCATCATCGGCCATGGAAGACTGGACAGTCCGAGCAAGAGGCGTACGCGAGTAGAGTCTATCTCTACTACCCTCTTCTCCCGTCGGCTCTACTCCCATTGTAATAGTTTAGGTACCTCTAAAACACCAATAGGTGCGGTCTCAAAAAAGGTACCTCTAAAGCACTAATAAATGCGGTCTCAATAAAATTAAAAAAAAAAAGATAAACTCATTTGTGACCGTTCCCAGATATAGGCTATTTTTCTTGCTTTTTTTTTTTTGGAACAGTCGAATGGTCCGACATTGTTGGACACTTCAAAAGGGGTTAAAGTTTTGCCGCCAATATTGAAACCGACATCAAATACAATAACCCCATAGTTACACCATCGTGGCATCGACCAAATAAGTGATAAAAAATGTTAAAAAAACAAAAGAAATAAAAAGAAGAAGCTGAAACCTGACCTCATATAAATAAACTAGTATTATTTTATTGATAATTTATTTATTGGCTTGATAGAAATCCATCTCCACGAAAATCTTGAGCTTCCCATCATTGTCAATAATAATTCAATATGTGCTAGAGTGAGTAAATGAGCCGTAGTCATATGAATCATTATCCTTCACCTTTCACAATCGCAATAAAAAAGAATAGCGATTCGCATAACATTATTACAATGACTGTAAAATTATTATTATTTTGGGACCAAAAAAAAAAAAAAACTATATAGGAGAGGCTGTAGAAGTGTAACGCTGAGATCATCCCATGCATATTGTTGGCCTAAATAAAATAATATAATCAACCCTTTTAGACTGGTTTGGCTGACATTCAACAAAGCTGTATGAAACTTGGTGGTTGGCTCGTCCGTCCAGCTTAGCCCATCTCCTCCACTGTCTCTGCCCACAATTCAAGACATTTCATACTTAAGATTTTGATTTGGGTTTGACTACTCCAGTAAAATTCCCTCGCCTTTTTTCAGCTATAAATAGACACAATAATACCATCATAACATCAAACCATCCACAAAATTTCTCATTTCATTGAGCCAAAAAAAAAAAAAAAAACAGAACAGAATGGGTTCCATTTCAATGCCAGAGAAGCCTCATGCTGTGTGCATTCCATATCCAGCACAGGGCCACATTAACCCTATGCTAAAACTAGCTAAGCTTCTTCATCACAGAGGCTTTCATATCACATTTGTCAACACCGAGTTCAACCACAAACGCTTGCTCAAATCCAGAGGCCCTGATTCTCTGAATGGGTTGCCTTCATTCCAGTTCAAAACCATCCCAGATGGGCTTCCCCCTTCAGATATTGATGCAACTCAAGATATCCCTTCTCTTTGCAAATCCACTTCTTCATACTGTATTGGTCCGTTTAAGGAGCTTCTAGCTAGAATCAATGATGAAGCCAAGTCTTCTTCGCAAATCCCGCCGGTTTCTTGCATAGTTTCTGATGGTGTCATGAGCTTTACTGTTGAAGCTGCTGAGGAATTAGGCGTACCTGAAATATTGTTCTGGACTACAAGTGCTTGTGGTTTCTTGGGCTATATGCATTATCGTCAACTCATCGAAAAGGGCCTCATTCCACTCAAAGGTACTATTATACAGCCCTGTTCAACATTATGTTTTGCATTTTTTCTACTTAATACTACTTCCACAATTCTGTTCCAAAATGATTGTCGTATTTGTTAAACTAGTACAAGACGGAAGCAACATTCATGTGTCGCGCATAGTGTTAATAAAAAATTGTTCCTTTCCAAAATCAGACTGTGATTATGTGCTCGAGAAAGTACTAATTAATAAGTCATAAAAATTTTGTTCTGTTTTTTTTTTTTAATGTGTGTGGAATTGTTGATCCATATTATACATGTATTTTGCAGATGAAAGTGATTTGACGAATGGATATCTGGAGCAGAAATTGGACTGTATTCCAGGAATGAAAGACATACGATTAAGGGATCTTCCAAGTTTCTTAAGAACAACAAATCCAGATGAATACATGATAGAGTTCGTGCTCCAAGAAACAGGGAGGGCCAAGAAAGCTTCCGCAATCGTTTTGAATACATACGAAAAACTCGAACCCGACACTTTATCTGCTCTTTCATCCATTCTCCCGCCTGTCTACTCAATCGGGCCATTACATTTTCTTCAAGAACGGGTCAACGACGAGAGCTTAGCTCTGTTAGGGTCAAACCTCTGGAAAGAAGAAACAGAGTGCCTTGATTGGCTTGATACAAAAGACCCAAACTCTGTTGTTTATGTAAATTTCGGAAGCATCACGGTTATGACGCCCGATCAGCTCGTCGAATTCGCATGGGGACTTGGGAATAGCGAGCAAACGTTTTTGTGGGTCATTAGGCCTGATCTTGTGTCCGGCGATTCGGCAATTCTTCCTCCTGATTTCTTGGAAGAAACTAAGGAAAGAAGCTTGTTATGTAATTGGTGCCCACAGGAAAAAGTCCTTAAACACCCTGCTGTTGGAGGATTCTTGACTCACAGTGGATGGAATTCGACACTGGAAAGTATCAGCTTCGGGAAGCCAATGGTTTGTTGGCCGTTTTTCGCTGAGCAACAGACGAATTGCTGGTTTTCTTGTACCCAGTGGGGAATTGGAATGGAAATTGATCCTAATGTGAAGAGGAATGAAGTCGAGAGTCTTGTGAGGGAGCTCATGGTTGGGGAGAAAGGGAAAGAGATGAAGAAGAATGCATTGGAATGGAAGAGGAAAGCTGATGAAGCAGTTAATGGTTCTTCTGAATCTAATTTGGAGAAGGTGATTGAAGTTCTGCTTCAATCCAAGTAACTTTTCTGAAATCTTTTGAGGACATGTATTCTTTTCTTTTTTTTTTCTCCAAAATTATTTTCTAAAAATATCTCTTTTTTTTTTATTTTTTTAAAAATAATGTGTGGTAATAATTTTGATGGTTGGTGTATATCAGTGTTCTGCTTGTAAAATGTATTGAAAGAGTGTTAGCTACATCTCTTTACTTAATTTTAATTTAAGAGTTAAATGAATAAAAGTCCAATTTAGCTCAATTCCTCATTTTTAGATGCGATTCTTTTTTTTTTTATTTTATGTATATTTATTTAGATACGAATCTTTTGACACCTTGAAGTTTGAGCGAGCATGGTTCATGTTTTTCAGAGCAAGATCTATATAAAAGAAAGGTGTCATTTTCTTTGTATTTTTCTATTGCATAATGCATTAATACGCAACTGATCATGTTGTCGACCGGGCAACACGAAACTCCGAGATATGATGGGCCTATTGAAAGTGGCAAGATTTGATCTAGGACGGTATATTTTAATTCAGTTTGTGAGAAATCGTTACATTGGAGGAGTACGGAATTTGCCTAGTATTTAAATTATTGACGAACCATTCACGCGATGTAAATACGATTTTTTTTTTTTTTTTCCTTTTATCAAGTTATTATAGAATTGAACTTAAGAAAATCAAATAGTAACAATCATAATTAATTCCAAGCACTAAAAGATGATACTCCCTCCATTCCAAAATAAGTGTCGTTTTAGCAAAATGGAGAAATTCTAAAATAAGTGTCGTTCTCACATTTCAATGCACTTTTTGTCAAAAATTTTCAAAATTACCCTCAAAAGAGTTGATGCTATTAGTGGACAATTTTATAATGGGGTTAGTTGAGGATATTCAAATAATTTTATTACTCTATTTAAGAGTTTCTTAAACTATGTGCAAAGTATAGATTGACACTTATTTTGGAATGGAGGTAGTACTAGTTGTAAGTTGTAACTACTATGTCTAAAAATGCTAACGCAAGTTAAGTTACTTATGTGCTCGTAGTCTCGTACATTTGACAACAAATAAATTGCAAATTTTATTTATTTATTTTTTTAAGAAGACGCCCAATAACATTCTTCATATCAAAACACACTATTATTTGAGAACTAGCAGCTGAAAATCATTGGTAAATCGCTTTTCCCAATGAGAAAGTCATTTATTCAAAACTCCCTCATTTCATCCCCTGACGGACGAGCCGCTGTTAAGATTCTTTGTAGAATTTGTCTTTGTTTCACTTGTAATCTCTTCTCGATTGTTAGCTCAAACTCTAAAGAGGGTTGATGAGGGTTGCATATTGTGTTACGATCAGCATGTGTTCGTGGAAATGTCGCAAAAGAAATCTAACCCATTAAGGACCTCAAACCGAGCTTCCTCTTCCTTCGGTGCTTTGGCGTTGGAGTTTCATTCTCTCAATGAGCTCCGATCAATGAGTTGCATTCTGGTTATCGTGCAAATTTCTTGTTCGTGGCTCGTGGGCAGGCGATGATTCCTATCCATCAGATATATGGGAGATCCCTGTATAATTGGTTTGGGAGATCCTAACATGGCTTCCGATAAAATCAATGATGAGATTCAAGTGTGTTTCTAAACTATGGCTATCGATCATTACTGATCCTCCGAAGCTCACTGCTATGGTTTTCGCAGGTTCCTCTTTTTTTTGAGCCATTTCAACTGCCCACAGAAAGGTACCGTTTTTTCCTACTGGAGCTTGGATGGCAACCAAAGTTTATGTCGCACCGAAAGTGTGAATGGCTTGGTATGTTTTTATGATTTGTCTGTTTGAAATGGTTAAGCATAGAGTACACTTACTGCAGGCCTAAGAATATATACAGAACTTTTTCCAAATTTATTTTCCAAGAAAGGATGCAGGAAAGCTTGATCAAGCAATGAAGGATTTCTAATTTTCTAACATTCATTGGGATGATAACAAATTTATAGCAGCTTTCTAGTGCACATAAAAATCACTTGGTTGCTTGTGAATTTGAGAGCAGGACACCATCGACAATTTTTTCATAGAAATTCTTGTAAGACGATCCTTCAGGACTAGCTGCAGTCTCAGTCAATTTCTTCCATTTCAGGGCTGTTTCCTTCAACTTCTTCCCCTTTTCCCCAACCATCAACTCCTTCACTAGTCTCTCAATTTCATCTCTGTTGACCTCAGCTAGTTCCATCCCAATCCCCCATTTGTTGCAACAGAACCAGCAGTTTGTCGGTTGTTCAGCGAAAGCTGGCCAACAAATCGTCGGCACGCCTGCGCCGATACTTTCAAGGATCGAGTTCCATCCGCAATGTGTCAAAAATCCTCCGACCGATGGATGCCTTAAGATCTTTTCTTGGGGACACCAATTTGATACTAAGCCTCTTTCTTTAGTTTCAGCTTCAAATTCTGCTGGAAGAACCGTGGCATCACCGATCACGAGATCAGGCCTAAGACACCATAGGAATCCATGTTTGCTATTTGCGAGTCCCCAAGCAAATTCTATCAGCTGCTGTGAAGTCATCCGAGCTATACTACCAAAATTCACATAAACTACTGAGTTGGGTTCTTTGCTATCTAGCCATTCCAGACAACCAGATTCTTCTTTCCACAGATTCAATCGAATTGATTTCAGTTCTTCAGGTTCTGGGCTTTGCCTTTCCAGCAAATGAAGTGGACCGATAGGGTAAATCGGCGGAAACAGGGGAGCAAGCGCTTCTAAAACCTCCTTCTCTAAGACATCAATGGTGTTTAAGATTATTGCAGATGCCCTCTTTGAATTAGCAGCTTCGTTGATTGCAAAATTCAGCATTACGTCTTTCGGATTCGTCGTCCGGATAAAAGTAGGAAGATCCTTCAATCTTATGCCCTGCATCCCTGGAATCCAATCTATCACTCTATCTAAATACCCATTTGTCAAATCCTCCTCTCCTTCAAAGTCAATATCAAATATATATGTCAACAAAACATGTCAAAATGCAAGTAAAAAACTGTCAATAAAATTTGACCCAGAAATGAGAAAAAACCAATCATCTTTTTTTTTTGGGTTTGGTTCATTTGAAAGGTACAAGATTTTACCTTTCAGTGGTGTGAAGCCTTTTTCAACGAGTTTACGATAAAAAGCGTAGCTGAGAAAGCCACAAGCACTAGGAGTCCAAAACAGAACATTTGGGACGCCGAGTTCTTCCGCCACAGTTAGAGTAAAGCTCATGACCCCATCGGAAACTATGCAGCTCACCGGAGGAATGCCGTTAGAGGACGAGGAATTGAGTTGCTGAATCAGTTTTCTAAACGGGGCTAAGCAATTTTTGGGTATAGATTCACAGAGCTTCCAAGCATCTTGTGCAACTTCTTCGTCGACAAGGGGAAGACCATCGGGGATGGCGGCGAATTGGAATGACGGGTGGCCTTCAAGGGCGGCGGGGCCATGGGAACGGAGGAGCCACCGCCGGTTGTATTCGGTGTTGACGAAGGTGATGTGGAATCCTCTGGCGTAAAGGAACTTTGCGATTTTGAGGAAGGGGAAAAGATGGCCCTGAGATGGGTTCGGAACAATGACGGCATGGGGCTTCTGGTTATGCTTCCGGGCTGATTCCATTGTTTCCGTTGAAGTTTCGAGAACTGAGGAATTCTTGATGACGAATGGTTTTGGTGCAATGCAACAATGATTGGGCCTTCTACTCACTGCATTATTGGAATGGACTATTTGATTGAAGTTAACAAAATAGGGGGCAAAATTGCTAGCCTGATTATTACTCCATAATCACATTGTGTTATGTGTGTCGAATGTTGATTACCTCCTAATTAACCTGACCCGAATCACAATGTCGGACTCCTACCGCCGGCCACCTAGAGCCTCCGCCACTGTCCTCCTGGCCCACCAGAAAAGCTGTCGGGAAAGCTTGTTCAGTTTTTCTCTCTGTTTTTGTGTTGGAAAAAACGTGCATTAATGCTACAGTTAGCTCTTTCACATCCCACTTCCGATTGTCCCATCATCGCATTATTATATCTCAATTAGTTTTGGTTCTAATCTATTCTGATGTTTTGGCGGGAAAGTTGTAATGTGGTCTGTAAATTGTGAGAGTGAAACAGTTGAAAAAGGATGAAGTTTTGCAGGGAATGCTGACTGCCCAAAGGCCAAAAAATGGTGACTGAATATTGACAAAAATCATAACGCCAACTAACCAACAACATATTGAATGCTCCCCGAAGACTTGGCATCTCTGAAGACCACAAGGGTGTCTCTACCAGGAAGTCAAACAATTCTGCAAGACTCGGTCTCCATGGCCAAAGAAGAAGTAAAAAGCAAGAAGAATCACGTCAACTTTGATGACATTAATTTATCAGTCTCTCTAAGTATTTGCACTTTGTCGACGTACACAGGTCCAAACTTCATTCTCTTTTCTCAAGTTTTCATCCTTTGTTGGGATTTTCAAAAAATTTTGAATAACCCTTTCCTCCTCTGATCCCATGCATAAAGTTACAGCTTTTACTGTGAAAATTCTCTAAGTCTAGCTTATTATTCAACTGGGGGGTATTGATATCTCAGAATTATTATTGAACTGATAGATTCTTAGGATGCTGGAATCAAGAATTTCATTTCGTGGTGTGAGTATGATTGTGGGATTTTTCTGGCTTCTGTTTCTGGTTGGAATAGGCGGCCAGGTTACAGATCCTGTAGAAGGTGATTTAATCTCTTAAGATAGACTGTCTTTGCTGGGATATGTAAGACATGATCAATTGAACTTACTATATATATATATATATTTGAATTCAAAACTGCAATCTTGGCCGCAAAGGCTTTGATGAGGCTCAAAAACAGAATTCTCATCTGGATAGTCTAACATATAGAAATGATTTCTTTGTTTAAGTAAGTTCGAGGATTCAATTGAAAAATGGTGTCATGATGCTATCTCTAAATTGTGACTTGCAGCCAAAGCGTTGCGTGCTCTCAAGCAAAATTTGATAGATCTAAGTGGTGTTCTCAGCGGCTGGAGCAGTGGTGATCCGTGTGCTTCTAGTTGGAAAGGAGTTGTGTGCTTTGATAGACCTGTTATTAATGGCCATCTTCATGTCAGTGAATTGTATGGTACTCTTTCTCAAGTTTAGCTTTTCTACTCTAGTTCTTTGCTTAAAACATTTTTCATGTCCGAGCTGGTCTTTGATTTCTGGTTCCTTTCCTTCATTGTATCTGATAACTAGAGTTGAGGCCTAAAATTTGGTTGCTGAACGAAAGGTCTTACTCTAAGTAGTAAGGGGTGGAAGGAGTACTGAGAACGTAGATTAGTTGCTGTCCAGAATCAGATTTTTGAACTTCAAACTGGCTGGACAAGAGGCCAAAAACATTTTTGAAAGAAATATATGCTTCTAGAAACTGTGCTTGCTGCCATTTTTTGTTTTACAAATGCGAAATGGATGTGATAGTGAGATGTGTAGTAGTTAAGCTTCCTCTGTGGTTCCGGATGATAATTTGGATGTGATTGACAGACAACAGCATGCTGAAGGTCATTGTAAACTTTTCATAAGATTTATGGTTGCTTTACTATTAGATCTTATGGGTTGTATCTTTTCCCCCTCAGCCCCAAGTCAATTCTAGGATTTTGTGGTTTCAAAACTTTCTTCCGAACTTGCTTAAGCTAAGTGATTATAATCATATCATGAAGGATTTGACGTTGTATTCTCCAGTAGTCTAGTTATCAGTACTATGTCTTGTGTTTCTCCCTAACATGGGTGTTTTTCCCCCTTTGAAAGGCACCTACTGAACATGAATCTGTCTGGAAGCTTGCCCCCAGAGCTCAGTGATTTAGCTTACCTGAGAATATTGTGAGTCGCATGTTATTAGTGTTTGCTCGATGAAAGATTAATTAATTTCTGGCTTTATCAACTATATATGTTCTCATGCATAGTCTAATTCCGGTTTCTTCTATCATCTCCTATCAACTAATTTGTAAACAAACCTTCCAACTGTGTAAAAGGGATGTCATGTGGAACTACATTACTGGACACATACCAAAGGAGATAGGGCGAATGACTAACTTGGAAATGCTGTAAGTGATACAATTTTTGTTGAAATATTTTTCCGAGGCATTAAAGCGATTCTACACATGGAGCCTAGTTGGAGTAGTTGACGACTATTAATGCTTAGGCAGGATAGTAAATTGCTAGTTTTTCTTTGTTGTAGTTACAAATACTAATGAATATTTATGACAGACACATCTTATCTAGAATCTGTTTGATGTTTACAGACTCCTGAGTGGAAATAAACTAACTGGTTCCTTGCCAGAAGAGATTGGTAATCTTGAAAACTTGGTAAGGTTACAGATCGACCAGAACCAAATATCTGGAGCAATACCTAAGTCATTCTCGAACTTGAAGAATGCAAAACACATGTGAGAAATTTCCTACACATCTGGCCTATGTTACTGTTAATATTGATTTCCTCATAAGTTTACTTACAAGTCAGCGTGCAAACATTTTGACCTTCGTTTTCCATCTTGTTCACCTACAGCCACTTGAATAATAACACCCTTACTGGGCAAATCCCACCTGAGCTGTCTGGACTTCCAAATCTTCTCCATCTGTATGTATAACAAACTAAATCTTTTGTACTTATTAACTCTTGTTTCATGTCTTGCACGATATTTTGAGTTCTAATACTTTCAGGTGGCATTACCTTCGACAGGTTTCTTGACAATAACAATTTGTCAGGGTATCTTCCGCCGGAGCTGTCTTTACTCACCAGTTTACTCACACTGTATGCCGTTTTTCTTCTCTTAAAATGTTCCATTTTAGCTCAAGGTTCAGTTCATTCTTACACAAACACTAGTTTGGAAATTAAAGGTTGTGTTTTTAGTAAATGTGTGTCCTCGAGCGAAAGAAATGGAATCAGACAATAAGCTTTTATGAAAAAGACACCACTGTCTTCAAGCTTCTTAATGAGGGAAATATGCAGAGAGCTTGTGTGTCTTTCAGATACACGAAATGCAAGTTCCAAAGGAAGTCATATGTAAAAGTGACCCTTTAGCTAGAAAAACATTCCTATTATCATTGAGAATGCTATTGCATTACACCCAGTAACCCCTGGCATTTGTCACTTCTCATATCCAGTATCTTTCCATGCTGGTAGCAACTGTTCTTTTTTTTCTTATATATTTTTTTCTTTTTCGTTTATGGTTGAACAATCTTTACATAACAAATATACATTGTCTTCCTCGATGTGAAACACTAGTTTGAAGTCTCACTTTTCTTTCTTAGCATGTTTGTTCCTATGCATTTATTTCTATTCATTTGTCTTTTCCCTTTATTTGCAGTCAAGTTGATAATAATAATTTCAGTGGGACTTCGATACCAGATAGTTACAAGAATCTAACCCGAATATTGAAACTGTAAGTATTCTAGTTATTACCTTTAATTTATGACATGAATGTAGCAGTCTTTTATATACCTTTAAGGAGTTTCAGGAATTACAAAAAGACTGCATTTGTACATTGCGACTAGACTAGGTTAGTAAAATCAAGAATAAAGTATTTCATTCATCAGCTTTCCAATTTTAGCGATCAGTGAATTGGGCCAGGAACGTAAACTCTTTTAGTATAATTAATGCAGAAATATTGGGAATTTCTTTGAGCCAGGATTGGTGACAGTTCAGATGTTCTGTATTTACCAGGAGTTTCAGGAATTGCGGGTTGACAGGGCCGATCCCAGACCTGAGCGATATGGTTAACCTTTTGTTTATGTAAGTCAGCCATGCTAAATTCTAATATGTTATGCTGTTCCCATACATCCGGTCTTGTTCTCATGAGTTAGTGAAGTTTACCAGACAGATCTGAATTTCTCTAGAAAAAATGCAGACTACGCAGTTTCTTCTTTCGTTTTCCTTCATCCCCCTTCCATTTGTTTCAAAGGGTTTAATGCTTACTACTATAGAATTCAGCTGACTCGTGTAACTTCAACCCAGCGATTTCAGCTTCAATGAGCTCAGCGGATCCATACCACAGGGTCATATCTCTAGAAATATCACAACTATGTAAGCACATTCCTTGGTTTTTTGGGTGATTAAAATCATATGTGGCACCTACTTTGATATTCCTAATTTCAAAAGTATATATTTCGAGTGACTACATGCATGTGAAAGACCAACAGACATACTTCAATACTGCAGTGTTTTATCATACAACAAGCTTAACGGGTCAATTCCAGCAAACTTTTCTAGCCTTCCATACTTGCAGAGATTGTAAGCTTCCTAACACGCCAGTCTCCAGTTGTCTATTTCCTAACAGACATGCTTTGTACTTTATTGCATTTGTATGTATTCTGCATAGTTATCTCACTAGAAGAGATGGATTAAGCATTTGTTGAATGATTATAGTAAAATGCTATTTTTGATGCAGGTTGCTTGCAAACAATTCGTTTAGTGGTTTAGTTCCTTCATTCATTCGGTCAAATACTACTTCGTCTGATCCTGAAACACTTATTATGTAAGTCTTTCTATATATAAGAGCCATTTCCTTGAACTCTCCACTCGTAGAGCAACAGAACTATGCCCCATGCATCAACCAACAACTTTCATTACAGTAAGGTTGTGGGATGCTGTGTGATTACCCCATCATAATTAAATAAAGAATGTATTCTGTAAATCTGTCACCTTTTTCCCTGGATATCCTTAACATACACCCTTGATGAAGCTGATGATCTTGCAGCGATTTGCAGAACAATAGGTTGTCAGATATCACGAGCAAATTTGTGCTCCATCCAAATTTCACTTTAAGGTAATGTTATGACCTATGAGCATATATTGTTCTGGAAAAAAGGGTTATTTAAGGAAGGACAAACCATCCGGATACTATATTAATTAGCTTAACAGAATATCTGGTCCTTCCTTTGCTCACCTACCAACATTATATTGATTTCCTTGAAATGTTTCATATAAAATTTCAGGCTTCAAGGAAACCCAGTTTGCAAATACCCCAACCTAACTAAGATCTGTTCAACCCAAGGCGAAGATTACAGTTCTATCTCGAAAAAGAAATCCAGTAATTTTTGTCCTCCTCAAGCATGTCCATCTCCTTATGAGTTTGCACCAGGATCCTCGGTCTCTTGCTATTGTGCTTTACCTCTCCTTGTTGGTTATCGATTGAAGAGTCCTGGATTCTTGGATTTCACACCTTATATGGATCAGTTTGAGGTGTATCTGAGCTCAAATTTGCAAGTACAAAGTTTTCAGCTTGATATTGACTCTGCTGCATGGCAAGCAGGCCCTCGCTTGAGGATGTACTTGAAGATTTTTCCAGTATATGATAATGTCTACTTCTCCATATTCAGTAAGAGCGACGTGCTACGAATTCAGACAATGTTCCAATCTTGGGAGATTCCTGAGGCTGACATTTTTGGTCCACCTGAACTTTTAAACTTGACTCTATCAGGGCCTTATAATGAAGGTTTGTCTTGCCATCTCTGTGGTCACTCATTTAGTCAAGTTTTTTTTTGAATATATGAACAGCTTATTACTCACAAGGCGGTTTCATGATTACATGGCTTCCTTTCCACACATAAGATTCTCTCAATCATTGATGGCCCCAAATTTTCTGGGAACTTGCAGTAATTTCTCCTTCAGGTTCTGGTTTAAGTAAGATTGCACGAGCTGGGATTATTTCAGGGGCTGTAGTCACTGCAGCTCTAGTGTGTGCTTTGATGGCATGGCTTGTTTTCAGATTCTATCGTAGGAAACATCATGCAGCTTCAAAAGGTAATCACACTGTGTATTTATACCTGTGGTAAAGAATGTAAATGGCAGTGCAATCATTCATTTTGAACTTGACATGTTTGTCGTGATTGCAGTGCCAAAGACTTGCATCAAAATTGATGGTGTGAAAGATTTTACTTACCAAGAAATGATACTTGCTACCAAGAACTTTGATGGCTCTAGCCAAGTAGGACAAGGTGGTTATGGAAAAGTCTATAAAGGTGTTCTAAATGATGGAACGATTGTTGCAATTAAGCGTGCTCAAGTGGGATCACTGCAAGGCGAAAGAGAATTTCTAACAGAAATTGAGCTGCTGTCGAGGCTACATCATAAAAACTTGGTCTCGCTAATTGGATATTGTGCCGAGGAAGGGGAACAGGTATTTCTGCAATAGCATCAGAATGTTGCATTCATTTACATAATGCACACTGCCATTAAATAAGTAATTTATCCAAGAACAAGTGAATTATACTCAGAAAATGACCGACTGGCAGTGCCTATTACTATAATGATGGAAAATCTCTTACAATTATCTTTTTTCCCTAGTGCTCAATGTTGCTTTTGAATGCAGATGTTGGTGTATGAGTTCATGCCAAATGGTACCTTGAGAGATCACCTTTCTGGTATTTTCCACGTGAATTTCCTTCTTAGAATCATTTGATCATTGTTCTCTTTCTTTCCTTGTTCTACTCTCTTTTTTTCCTTTATAAGCATGTTTTTTGATAAAATAAATCTCTTCTAACCTGGCTTGGATAGTAACAAAAACACAAGTTTAGAGGAAGAAACTGTTTCGACAAATTAGTTGGATATAATCACTGTTGATGCTTGATTATGCCCATTAGAGTTTTGTGGAACTATACTTGGTTATAAGTGCCTGCAATGAACCTTTCAGGGAAGTATGAAGAACCTCTTAGTTTTGCTTTAAGATTGAGAGTTGCATTAGGTTCAGCCAAGGGTGTCCTTTACCTACATACAGAAGCTAATCCGCCAATATTTCATCGAGATATAAAAGCAAGCAACATCCTCTTGGACTCTGATTTGACGGCCAAGGTTGCAGACTTCGGACTTTCGCGGCTTGCTCCAATTCCTGACACTGAAGGATTTGTCCCTGCTTATGTATCTACAGTTGTCAAGGGAACTCCAGTAAGCATTAATGACATGTTTTGGGATATTCAAATATCAGATTGGATTTTCAAAGGAAATATATTGATTGCCATGCTAACTACTATGTAATACGAAAATTGATGTTTTCATGTGAAAAACTGACACATTTTCTGCAGGGATACCTTGATCCAGCCTATTTCCTAACCCATCAACTTACAGACAAAAGTGATGTTTATAGCCTTGGTGTCGTGTTTCTGGAGATATTAACAGGAATGCCAGCAATAATACACGGCAAAAACCTTGTCAAGGAGGTAGGTCTCAGCATAATATCCTTTTGTGGGTTAAAAGCATTACTAATCTTAATGCAGTCATGTTATTCCGAAAAATAGACCTGATATGCTATGTTTTGTCCCAGGTACATGTCGCATGTTCGTCTGATATGATGTTGGAAATCATCGATAAAAGTATGGATTCTTATCTGCCCAATTGTGTGGAGAAGTTCATGACTCTTGCTCTCAAATGCTGTGAAGAAGAGACAAATGCTCGTCCTTCGATGGCTGAAGTTGTCAGAGAACTTGAAGATATATGGGCACTTATGCCAGAATCAGAAGCCAAGCCACTTGAATCCTCGTCAGTGAGCCCTGTTGTATATTTAGCTTCTTCTCCAATGACTATGAGAAACCCTTACAACTTGTCTGATGATTTCAACTGCAGATACCCTGGTAGTGAAAGTATTTCCACACTTACTCCTAGGTGATCATTTTTGTTTCCTTCTCTTAGAGTCTAACTCTCAACATTCTTTAGTAACTAACAGACTGCATTAGTAGTTCTTGCATTTTCCCACTGAACATTAAACCTGCTCAAGATTGTACCTTATGGAGCTCGTTTTAGACATGAAGATTTAACGTCCATGGTTTGCTCTCTTATACTAATATTTTGTGTAACTTCTACTATTAGCTTGCTCTTTCAGATCAATGCTGTCTTCACATTAGGCAAATAGAAACACATTTTCGCTTTTTTGGTCACTGTTGAATGTGTTTTATTTCTATGTACAATATCATGCATTTATTTTGAAGCCTTTGGCTACCAAAGTACACTCAAAACTTGACAATTTCGTCATCAATCTTCAATTTTTTCTTCTTGAAAATATACTGGCAATTGGCTTGGGACATTGAAACGTTCCATTCTCTCTGCATTCCCTTTTACATACAATTGCTAGTAAAAACCACCAGCACAGATGGACTCAAACGTGGAATTCCATCCACAATGTGTCAAGAACCCGCCGATAGAAGGATGTTCTGGAACACCTTTTTGTGGGCACCAGCTTGCAAGATAGCTTCTACCCTCTGTCTGTGAAATGAATTCGGGGGGCAGAATCGCGGCATCTCCCATGACTGAATCAGGCCTAATGATCCAGAGGAAGTTCTTCCTAGTTTTACCCAGCCCCCAGGCAAATTCGACGAGTTGATCCGGTGTACATACTGTCACACTTCCGAAATTGACATAAACTACTGAGTTAGGCTCTTTAGAATCCAACCACTCAATGCATCCTGCTTCTTCTTTCCAAAGATTAGAACCCCAAGATTTCATTTCATTATTTGGAAGTTGGTCTTCAATGAGATGAAGAGGGCCAATACTGTATACTTTTGTTGGAAAAATGGCTGGAAATGCATCCATCACTTCAGGTTCCAGTTCATAAAAAGTGTTAAGAATGAGTGCAGAAGCCTGAGGAATCTTCTCAACTTGATTCATAAGAAAGTTCAGCATAATGTCATTCGGATCGGTGGTCCTAATGAACGATGGCAAATCTTTCAATCTTATTCCTTCGAAAGATGGAATCCAATCGATAACCGTGTCCATGTACCCGTTTGTTAAATCACTCAAATCTGCATAACACGAATTAAATCATGGTTACAAGCTCTCCTCAGTAAATAAAACAGAATCCTGCTGGAAACTGGAGGAACAGAATTCTCGAGCAACTTCAAGTGTGAAACTCATGATCCCATCAGAAACTATGCAAGAAACTGGAGGAACATCAGGATCATTGTTGAGCTTTGCGACAAGTTCTCTGAAAGGGCTCAGACAGTTTTTGGTGGTGGAATCACAAAGGGATGGTACATCTTGAGCGGAATTTGCATCGGAAAAAGGAAGTCCATAAGGGATGGTTAAGAAGGCAGGCCATCAAGTGAGTTTGGTCCCCTTGATTTCAGCAATCTCCTGTGATTATATTCAGAGTTCACAACAGTGGTATGGAAGCCTCTTTGGTGAAGAATTTCGGCTAATTTGAACATGGGATTCAAGTGGCCTTGTGCGAAAAATGGGATGCAAATTGCATGAGGCTTCTTGACCTTGTTTACAGTCCCCAAACTCTACATATTTTTACTGTTTTGCAGGTACAAAATGGAAAAGGAGAATACCAACTTATAAGATAGTAAAGTTGCAATTTGCGATGAGCAACTCTTATAGCATCATGATTGCCCATTTATTTAGTTTTTTTCAAAGAAAAGTATGCAATGTATTATCAAATGATTGCCGTGTTGGGTTAAATGTTGTAATGTCGTCCAACAAGAGATACCCACAAATTATAGGAATTCAGTCACCAGAGATGAACGAATAGGAAGAAGATTACAGTCGTGACTTAATGATGCACAATGACATTGTGCTGTGGCTTTTTTTTTTTTATCATCCTGGATTTTTTCTACGACAGACAAAGTTTTGAGAAAAGATAAAGACTTTCTGATCGACTAGTATTCCACGGTCGATTATCATTCGGGAAACTTCAGACAAAATCACAAAATGCACTGCTCAATTTTGGCTACTTTGAAAGTAACTTCTAATTCTACCAGAAAACCACCAATGGTGGGTGATAAAACATTCACAGTAGATAGCTCGCACTACTTTTTCTTCTTTTTTACTCCCTCCGTCCCATAATTATTATTCACTTTGCCCAAAACATTTTGTCCCAAAATTATCGTCCAATTTGACTTTTTATGGATCAAGTTACACATTTGTCCTTAGTAAAAAACATTATCCATAAAATTTTAGTGGTTAAACAATTACTTATGTAGGGGTATATCCGGTTGTTTAAGGTAAAATATAGTTAAGTTTGACCAAAAATAAAATTTTTCATTTTAGTAAAAGTGGATAATAATTATGAGACGGAGGGAGTATTTTATTTTACTTGTCTTTTGAGTTTTGAGAATCAGAAGAGGGAATTAACCAATGGGTTCCTGTTAGTTATTGTTGCATCGCTTTGTTTTCATATTAGAAGAGCTCGAAACCATGTTATATTTGAAAACAAATCCAACACAGTGGATCAAATTTGCAAAGAGGTATAACAAGCAATTAACGGAGGGTTGCTTGCTCCCACAGAAAATGGTTATAGAAATTAAATGACAAAATCATTTTCGTGAAATTGGAGTTTTGATTTAGCTTCTGGTCAAGGATATTGTAAAGTTAGCAGGTTGGAAATATGTGCAGAATTTTGATATAATTACTTTTGTGATCGATGCAGTGTTGTTTTATCTCACAAGATGATAAGAAGATTCACTTCCGTCCTACCCAAAACCTGTGAATCCAGTGAGCTCATGATTTTGGTTAGTCACGTTGAGGAATTTATCTTCATATCAATACTTACTAGCACATTCCAAAAGATAAAAAAAAAAAAAAAAAAAATGATACTCACTCTGTCTCATAACAAATGTCTCGCTTGATGTACTAAAAACAGTACTCCCTCCATTCCAAAATAAGTGTCATCCTACACTTTGCACATAGTTTAAGGAACTCTTAAATAGAGTAATAAAATTACTTGAATATCCTCAACTAACCCCATTAAAAAAATATCCGCCAATAGTACTAATTCTTTTGAGGGTAATTTTGGAAGATTTGGACAAAAAGTACATTGAAATGTGAGAACGACACTTATTTTGAAAAACGACACTTATTTTGGAACAGAGGGAGTACAAACATTTGTAATGAGCTGATAAGAGATGAGTGATGCTGTTCTTGCAACCTTATTCACAGCAGTAACATTTGACCAGTTAAGCGACAATCATCTGGACAACTAGCTGATTCCGTAGTAAGAAACATGGCTTGGAGCGCGAAAGGCTGAGTAACAATTAATGAGGTGACCACAAGTGTCATTACCAAATTAACTAGCGAAGAATGTGCTTAACCACCGTGCAATGGTAATAGGGCATTTGAAAAATTAAAATCAATTCTAGATAGCAGGCCCTGAAATGAGCACATTGTTAATTAAGTCCTCAAGATTTTTGTAAGATGATCCTGTTGGAGCAATGATAGCCTCTTCTGCTAATTTCTTCAGTCTTGTTGCCTTTTTCTTCATCTCCTGACCTTTCTCTCCAACCATCAACTCATTCACAAGTTTCTCAACTTCTTCACTCTTCACGTTGTTATCTATCTCCATCGCTATCCCCAAACGGTTGCAACAATACCAGCAATTCGTTTGTTGTTCGGCGAAAAACGGCCAACAGAGCATCGGGACGCCAGCGGAAATGGATTCAAACGTGGAATTCCATCCACAGTGTGTTAAGAACCCTCCAACAGAAGGATGTTTTAGAACATCTTCTTGTGGGCACCAACCTGCTAGCAAGCTTCTGTCCTTAGTCTCTAAGATGAATTCAGGAGGCAGAATCGCAGCATCTCCCCTGACTAAATCAGGCCTAATGATCCAGAGGAAATTCCTCTTGGTTTTAGCCAGCCCCCAGGCGAATTCGACGAGTTGATCCGGGGTACACACCGTCACGCTCCCGAAATTGACATAAACGACTGAGTTAGGCTCCTTGGAATCCAACCACTCAATGCACCCTTCTTCCTCTTTCCACAGGCTTGATCCCCATGATTTCAGCACATTATTTGGAAGTTGATCTTCAATGAGGTGTAAAGGGCCAATGCTGTATACTTTCGTCGAAAAGATTGTAGGAAATGCATCCATCACTTCAGGTTCCAGCTCATAGAAAGTGTTAAGGATGAGTGCAGAAGGAAGACGAATCTTTTCAACTTGAGTAATAGCAAAATTCAGCATAATGTCATTCGGATCAGTGGTCCTAATAAATGATGGCAAATCTCTCAACCTTATTCCTTCCAACGATGGAATCCAATCTATAACCGTATCCATATACCCGTTTGTTAAAAAACTCAAATCTGCAAATCACAAGAAAATCAAGAGTCACAAGCGTCCCTTTCAAAAACTAAACAAAAAAAAATATATCTGCTGGAAATCCTCTGTTTTTCTGGGAAATGTGTTAAGCCAACAACAACAAAATGTGCATTGTTCCGCCAATGCGATTGAAAAAGATACAACGATACAGCAGTACAAATTGTTAAAAGATAAAACAGGTAAAGAAAATGGAACATTTTTACCTCGGAAACAACAGAATTAGTGGTTCATATGAATTACCTTTGAGAGGAGTGTAGCCCTTTTCTACAAGATGGCGATAATGCCAGTAAGCCATGACACCAGCGGCACCATTAGTCCAGAAGAAGACATCCGGGATGCCGAGTGCTCGAGCAACTTCAAGAGTGAAACTCATGATCCCATCAGAAACTATACAACTAACCTGAGGAACATCAGGGTCATTATTGATCTTAGTGACAAGTTCCCTGAAAGGGCTCAAACAATTCTTGGTGGTGGAATCACAAAGGGATGGCACATCTTGAGTGGAATCAGCATCGGAAAAAGGAAGTCCATCAGGGATGGTTTTGAACTGGAAAGAAGGAAGGCCATCAAGTGAGTTAGGCCCCCTTGATTTCAGCAGTCTCCTGTGATTATATTCAGAGTTCACAAAAGTGATATGGAAGCCTCTTTGGTGAAGAATTTTGGCCAATTTGAACATGGGATTTAAGTGGCCTTGTGCTGGAAATGGGATGCATATTGCATGATGCTTCCTGACCTTGTTTACAGTTTCCTGAATCTCCATATTTCGATCTGCTTTTGCAGGGTGGAAAATGGAAGAATACCAGACCAACTTATCTTTTCAGCTAGCTACGATATATGGTTTGTATGCTCAGAAATATATTGTTTTATACGGCTATTGTTTCATGACGTAAACACTACATTATTTTATCTAGTACCCATGATATGAATTTTATCTTTTCATTGCCTTTGTCATATAGTTATAGTGTAGATGAAGTATAAACTAGATTTTTCCTAAAAATGAATACAACAGTATAAATATTTCGGGACGAAAGAAATAACTTTTAATAAAAATACTGAGACTCATGGCAACTCAATCATTAAGTTGAACGAATAGGAAGAAGATAATGGCTGTAATAAAAAAGATGATGGCATTTTGTTGTGAATTTTCATTATCAAGGATTTTGTGCCACAAATTTGAGAGCGTGACGATAAAGGCTTTCTGATCAACTAAAGTATTCCACCGTCGATTATCATCGAATTCCAAATGAGAAGAACGATAAAGTGTTCTTGGAAACTTTGACATTGCACTGCTCATTTTTTAATACTTTGAACGTTACTTTTAGGCCCTCCTGAAAATTAACCACTTGTAGGGAAAATACCAGACTTAATACGTTTTTTTTTTTCTCTAAACCTTTCAACATTCTTTTAAATTAATGAAATTCTTAATTTTAATTCTTTTTTTTCTAAAATGAATACTTTTCCTACAAATGCGGAATTGTATAAAAGTCAGCTGGAATTTTTTATTTGAAAAGGAAAGGAAAAACTCAAAATGTTTTGCATCAAATTTGTCATCGATTTAGCCATGTTGATGACCAAGAATGGGTTGTTATGCGTGGATATTCTGACATTTTATTTAGTCTTTCTTTTAAAAAATATGTAGTTTTTTCTAAAAATGCAAAGTTATGTAAGAGTTGACGGAAATTTTTTATTAAATAGAGCAGGAAAAATAATTGTCGACATAGAGATGTCAATGACATAGTCGACGAGGATGCTTATATAAATTTTCCATCCATAGTTTCCAGAATCTTTTTAAGATATTAATTTCCTTAAGAAAATTATTAATTATATTATGTTTTATTATATCGTACTTATTCTATCTTGAAAAAAATAAATAAATAAGGAGGAAACTCTCAAATATTTTTAATTCGATTTTGTCATCGACTTAGAAACATGGAGGACCAAGTTGACAGACATGCGTACATGTTCTTTTTATTCTTGTTAGATATTCAAGTATATCAACATTGGTACAAAGAAGGAGACAAGAACACAAAATTCTTTCACGCATATACAAGTAAAAGGCGTGAAACGAATTTTATTTCTACTCACAAGGACAGTAATGGTGTGGAGTGTTCATCACGGGCTGATATTGAGAGTATCATTATGGAATATTTCTCTGAAATTTTCACTTCTTCACTCCCAGCAACGAGAGATTTCCATCAGGCCTTATCTCGCATTCGTCCGAGGGTTGATGACAATATGAACAGCCAACTTATGATCCCTTTTACGGAAGCTGAGATAGTGAAAACGCTCAAGCAGATGTCTTCATTTAAATCTCCGGGACCTGATGTTATGAGCCCTATATTTTAAAAAAAATTATTGGAGTGTTGTTGGCTTTGATGTTAGCTCTTTTGTTTTAAATTTTTTAAATAACAAAATTTTTGATAGTACTATGAATGCAACCTTCATTGTTCTCATTCCGAAAGTTAAAAAGCCTGATCTTATTACTCAATTTCGTCCAATTAGTCTTTGTAATGTCACTTATAAATTAGCCTCCAAGGTTTTAGCCAACCGTATTAGAACAGTTTTGCCTGATATCATTTCACCTTCTCAGTCTGCTTTTATTCCTAGTCGTTTGATCACTGATAACATTCTGATTGCTTATGAAACTCATCATCATCTTAGGTCGAAATCTTCAAGGGGGATAGGACTAATGTCTATTAAATTGGATATGAGTAAAGCTTTTGACCGAGTGGAATGATCATTTGTATGTGCTGTCATGAAATCCTTAGGTTTTAGTGAATCCCTAGTTGACCTAAGTCATACTTGCATTTCTTCAGTCAATTTTTCTTTTCTTTTCAATGGTACTGAATTTGGTCATTTGACACCACAAAGAGGTATCCGCCAAGGCGACCTTTATTGCCTTATCTTTTTATCTTGTGCTCTGAAGTGTTTTCTTGTATTCTCTAAGATCTCCAATCTTGTGGAAAATTACATGGCATTGCTATGTCACGAAATGCCCCGGCCATCTCTCATTTGTTTTTTACAGATGACACACTTTTGTTTGGTCATGCTACTGTGGAGGAAGCCAATCATATTAGATTTGCTCTTAATCTTTATGAAAGAGTTTCAGGTCAGAGCATCAACCTTGACAAATCCGGCATTATGTTTTCCCCAAACACTCCATCGGGTCTCAGGATTTCAATATGTGATATATTAGGGATTCCGAATGTTGAAGATCATGGAAAATATCTATGACTTCCCTCGGTCATTGGTCGTAACAAGAGTTTGATGTTCCCAGGCCTTAAAGACAAGATTTGGAAAAAACTCTCAGGTTGGAAAGAGCATAATCTTTCCAAAGGAGGAAAGGAGATTCTTCTTAAGTCGGTCATTGCTCTTACACTATGAGTTGCTTTAGATTGCCGGATTGTCTGCTATGAAATCTCACAGATGATGAGCTCTTACTGGTGGGGAGACGTTGGAGATAGCCGGAAAATCTGCTGGAATTCTTGGAGTTCGTTGACACGGAGCAAGGAGATGGGAGGCTTAGGGTTTCGGGATCTAAAATGTTATAACTAAGCCATGCTTAGTAAGCAAGCTCGGAGACTGCTTACCAATCCCTCCTCACTTCTAGCCAAAGTTCTGCAAGCCAAGATTATCCTCATACTACATTCCTTGAAGCTACTGCATCTCCACAATCTTCCTGGTTGCGGAAAATTATAATGGAAGGGAAGTCACTTATTGATGTTGGAGTGCGCAAGCGAGTGATGAATGGGCAGAACAACTTTATTCCGGGAGATAAATGGCTTCCGGAAGCTCCATAATGGATCACCTCTCCGTCAACAACTCTTCCTATTGACAGCAAGGTCAGCTCTCTGATTGATACGGACACGGGTTGGTGGAATTTTTCCCTTATCCGTCAGATTTTCATTGTCCATGAAGCTAATCAGATCATGTCCATTCAATAGGGGAGCATGCAGGAACCTGATTTCTACGTGTGATCTTCCACGAAGAATGGTAAACACTCTGTTAAGTCTGCTTACTATCTTTCGTTGAATTTCCATAATCTGCAGCCAACAGGTTCGAACACATTACAATATCCATGGAAGAGTTTGTGGAAGCTGTCGCTGCCGCCGCGTGTACTGCATTTTCTTTGGCGTTATTTGAAAAATTCACTTCCAACATCTGAGAATCTGGCTTGTAGACACCTCAACTATGATCCAAAATGTTGTTTTTGTGGTGAGGAAGATTACAACACAACTCATCTCTTTTTTCTGTGTTCATTCACACAACAAATCTGGATGTCCGCAGGAATTTTGGAACTCATCATGCACTTTCAGAGTCACGACTTCCAGAAATGGTTTGGGGATTTACTCAGTTTGCTGGACAAAGATCAAGCTCAGACCTTTGGCCTTCTTTGCAACACTTTGTGGCTCTCAAGGAATGCAAAGCTGTTTGAGCAGAAGGAGTGTACAACTTGGGGAGTTCTTCTTCGGGCTGCAACCATCTTGAAATCATGGAAATCTTCAACACAGAATAATGCTAGAGCTGCTTCTGGTTTACATCCTGTTTTCCATCCATCACAAGACTGCACGACAGTGTCTTTTGATGCAGGCATTTCTCACTGGAATAAAATTGCGGGGCTTGGAGTTTATTTTGCTTCTCCCGATGGATCATTTCTCCATGCTTTTAGCACTCATGTGAATAATTTCACGGATCCAGAAACGGCTGAATTGTTGGCATTATGAGAGGCTTTGCGACTTGCACACAATCTAGGGCTCACAAGTTTCCAAATTATTGGTGACTCCATTAATGCAATCTTGATAGCTCGAGGTGATTTGGAGGGATCAATTTTGGCCTTTCCAATTATACAAGATATACAGCATCTCCTTTAGCGATTTTCTAATCTTAATCTTTTTCTAGATTAGTAGATAAGAAAACTCAGTGGCTCATAAACTAGCGGACTATGCTAAATCTTGTAAGGTACGAGACGCCTTTTGGTCATCTCCGCCGGATTGGTTTTCACACGATCCTGGTTGATTCCAGTTAATCTATAAATTATCTTTTCTCCAAAAAAAAAAAAGTATATCATATTTAGTTTGTCTATTTATAGCATAAAGATAAAAGTTTGAGTGCACAAAAGAAATTCTAAAATGTTATTAGTCGGGCGGTTTATTTCTCAAATATGATTGGTTGGACGGTTGTCCTATGATATCATTTTTTCATCACATTTTTAATATGAATGCAATTGACTAATTGTTGGCAAACTTTTTTTTAAAAAAGAAACAAGTAAATCGAATAATCAAGGTTTTGTCTTCTTGAAAATATACGACAAAGTTGAAGGTTTTATTGAGTATTACACATAGCGTTGAAATTTTATAGGAGGTTTGTAAGAGGTGATTGTTATTTACGATTTTGTAGGGACAAACAATAATTTTCAGTGACGAGGAGTAAAAACCATTCATTACCCTTCCCTTTAAAAAGATTATGTTCTTTGAGATCTGAGTTTCTCTCTGCACCTGGTCTATTTAGTCATTAGGATTATACTTTATTTTGTTTTGAAGTATATCTATGGAACCAAATCATGTAAAGCACTATTTAGGACATTGATGCAATAGCGGATTCTTCTAATTATGATTCCTCTGTTGGGGTTGTTTGGTGTAGTCGGAAAATTCTTTTCCACCCTTCTTAATTGAAGAAAAGCTCATCAATCTTGCAGCAAGTTAGTAACAAGTCAGCCAGGCGATGTTGCAACTAGAACCAAGCTTTTATTATTTTTTGTCA